GGAGGGAGGGAGGGAGGGAGGGAGGGAGGGAGGGAGGGAGAAAAAAAGAAGGAAAGAAAATAGTCTGGGCTGGAGAGATGGCTCAGAGGTTAAGAGCACTGACTGCTATTCTGGAGGACTTGGGTTCAGTTCTCAGCACCCACATGGCAGCTCACAACTGTCTGTAGCTCCAGTTCCAGGGGATCCACCACCCTCTTCTTACTGCCTCAGGCGTGTGTGTGTGTGTGTGTGTGTGTGTGCATATACATATATATGCATACATATACAGGGAAAACATAGACAAATAAGTAAATTTTTTAAAGAAAATAGTCTGAATACAGTGTTGTTGGTTCAGTGTTTAGAAGTAGATTTGGTAAAGCCTGGAATTGAATATGGCAAGTACTTGATGATTGTTTTTTTAGGTTTGGTCTAAAGGAATTTTTTTTTTACTTGCCAAGTCTTAACTGCTTTAGCAAACCCAATGATATTGTCTGGGAATTGAATCCAATGGCAGAGTGCTTGCCTAACTTGTAGCCCAAGCTTCTTAATCATAACACTGTGGAAGTGAAGGCAATAGAGTGAGAAATTCGAGGCCAGTTTCAGCTACATAGTGAATATATGGCCAGCCTGGGCTACCTGAGATGGTCTCAAATAAATAAATAAGGCCCTAGGTTCTATCTTCAGCACCACATTGAAAACAAAAAATAATTACATGGGTAACTCAATTAAAATACATAAACATTGATCTTAATACCTAACTTCAATAAAGGTTTAATTAATATATTAGCTTTAATTTTCTGTTCAGGTTTTTGTAGATACCTGCTTTATGACTGGTTCTTTTGGTAAATGTTTGACTCACTCAGCATTTTCCCATGCTTTCCTTCTTATTTGATCTGTTCCTGTTTTTAGATATTTAAAATAACATTTTTCAGAATCTTAACTTTGAGGATTATAAATTTAATTTGCATTTTCTACTGAACAGAGCAGATGGCCAATATGGAAAGAATACTGCATCTGACATTATTTTACTAGGAGAACTTAAAAGAAATTGGTCTCTGAAAAAGAGTACCTGTGTTTAAAAAAAAAAAAGTCAACAAAACAGTAAGGTTTCATGGTAAACCGCAATCCTTAAAAATAGGAAATCTGCAGTAGAAAAGGCAAGCAGTATGCAATTATAGCTTGCAGTCCCCGCTATGATATAGCATGAGACACAATGCCAAAACATGAAGGGAAAAGAATGCAGACTAAAGCCAAACACTGAAAATACTTCCTATAAGCAAGAGAGTTTATGTTTAAAGTTCAATTCTGGTCATTGGTGTTACTCAAACATAGCAACTTCTAAAATTAAATGATTCCTATAGATCTTCAGGATTATATAAGCATTTTATTATGTAAAGAGTAAATGTAGAGAAGTGGTGGTTATATTATGTAAGGAGTAAAACTGGAGAAAGTGGTGATATTCAAGAGTGTCTTCCCCTACCACACATACCATTTTTAGTGAATGCCATTTGTCCTTACAGGAATGTTAACAATGTGTTGTCATTTTAAGAAAACAAACTATTTAGGGGAAATAAATTATACACTTCTTGTCACTATAGTTCAAACAGCATCTTACTGAGAATTAGGTTTTTTTAAAAATTGTTTTCAATGTCATGAAACAGAATCCTACACCTTATTAACATACATGCCCTGCGAAATATCTTAGAGAAGGAGAGATAGTTCAGTGACTAAGAGCACCGGTTGCTCTTGCAGAGGACCTGGGTTTGGTTCCCAGCACCCACATGGTGGTTTGCAAGTCTGTAACTCCAGTTCCAGGGGATCCAATGCCCTGTACACATAGCATGTGTCAGTGAAACACTCATACATAGAAAAGTTAAATAAAGCCAAGTGTGGTAGTGCATACCTTCAATTCCAGTACCCAGATGCAAAGGCAGGCAAATCTCTATGAGTTCAAGGCTAACCTGATCTACACTTCTAGTTTCATGACAAACAAGGTTACATAGAGAAACTCTGTCAAAAAAAAAAAAAAGTATAACTCTTTGGATCTTTGGAGAGAGATAGGTATTTAATCCAATCTGTATAATTTATGATAGCAAAACTGATACTGACTTGTAACCTCTGAAATTTTAAATACTTAATGACATTTAAGAGAAAAAAATTTTTTAGACAGAAAATATATAGCTCTAGCTGGCCTGGAACTCAGTATGTAGACCAGGCTGGCCTCGACTCACAGAGATCCTCCTGCCTCTGCCTCCCAAGTGCTGGAATTAAGGGTGTGCACCACCACTACCTGGCCAACATACTTAATTTTAAGGAAACGTTGTACTAGGCTGTTGCAGAATATTACTTTAATTATCTAAAGTTGTGTTACATTTGTTTATGCTGCCTTTGTTTAACTATGTAAAGATGTGTTGCTATTTCACCTTGCCTGCCTAAAGTACCAGATTGGTTTAATAAAAAGCTGAATGGCCAACAACTAAGCAGTAGAAGGATGGGGGGGGGCTGACAGGCAGAGAGAAAAGTAGGAGAAGGAATCTAAGGGAGAGAGAGAGATAGAGTGCACATGAGAGAGAAAGAGAGTGAGATGCCCAGGGCCAGTCAGGCAGTTAGCTGCCAGAAGTAGGACAGACAGGAAGAAACAGGAAAGTAGGAAAAAAAAGAATGAAAGATAGCTAAAAATCCCTGAGGCAAAATGTAGATGAAGAGAAACAAGTTAAAATAAGTTTTAAGAGGTAGTGGGACAAGCATAAGATAAGGCCAAACATTCATAACTAACAATAATAGGTCACAGTGTCATGATTTGAGGGCTGGCAGTCCAAGAAAGTCTGCTACACTATGCTGTTGATAAATTTAATTAATTTCAATGTTGTCATTTTTTTCTTATGTCTCTCTCCTTTCTCAGGTCTACTATTTAAAAGATGCACCTTGCTGCTTCCCACCAAGGACAGACTAAAATACATTCACAAGATACTCTCAGAAGTAAGATCATATACCAGAATTAGTTCACAATCTTGAGTTCTAGTAAAGATAACTTATCACTAATGTCAAATATTATTTATAAGCCTATCTTTTAAAATTATTATATGTATGAATGTTTTGCATATGCATCATGTGTGTACCTGGTGCCCATGGAAGCCAAAAGAAGGCATCATATCCCCTGAAATTGGATCTACAGGCAGTTGTGAGTCACCATGTCAATGCTGGGAATCAAACCTGGATCCTCTGCAGGAAAGCAAATGCTCTTCACTGAGCCAGCTCCAGCTCCAAACCTATCTTTTAAAAACAGGATTTATTTTATTTTTTAACTGCATGTAAGTGTGTGTTTCTATTTATGTGTGCCAATGGAAGTCAAAAGATGTCATATTTTTTGTTTGTTTGGTTTTTGGTTTTTTTTGTTGTTGTTGTTTTCAAGACAGTATTTCTCTGTGTAGCCGTGGCTGTCCTTGAACTCACTCTGTAGACCAGGCTGGTCTCGAACTCACAGCACAGAGATTCTCCTGCCTCTGCCTCCTGAGTGCTTGGATTAAAGGAGTGTGCCACCACTACCCAGCTAAAAAATGTCAGATTTATAAATTAAAGCTTATCATATCTATGTACATTTAGAGAAAGCATATGGAGAGATGACTCAGTGGTTAAGAGTGCATACTACTCTTGAAGAGGACTCAACTTTGATTCCCAGTACCGTAGTGGGGTAACTCCCAATCTTCTGTAACTCCACTGGCAGGTGATCAAACACCTTTGGTCTATGCAGGCACCTGTACACACCTACACACACACACACACACACACACACACACACACACACATACAGATAATTAAAATGAAGCTGGCCGGTGGCGACTCAGACTTTTAATCCCAGCAGCAGTTTTAGCTGTCCTGGAACTCGCTCTGTAGCCCAGACTGGCCTCGAACTCACAGAGATCTGCCTGCCTCTGCCTCCCAAGTGCTGGGGTTAAAGATTTGCACCACCACTGCCCAGTTGGCAGTCCTCTTCTTCCCATGGATTCCAAGATTGAGATCAGGTTCTCCTGCAACAAGCACTTTACTCACTGAGCTGCCTCTCTCACAGTCACCAAAGTTATTTAAAGTGCTGATTTAGAGGCTGGGTGGTGGTGGTGCATGCCAGAGGCAGGAAGATCTCTGTGAGTGAGTGTGGGGCCAGCCTGGTCTACAGAGCGAGTCCCAGGACAGCCAGGGCTACACAGAGAAACACTGCCTCAAACAAAACAAAACAAAAAGGGTGACATAGGGGCTGGTAAAACAGCTCAGTCCATAGAATGTTTGCTTATAATTTGGTCCCTAGCACCTCTTAAACTAGGTACAATGGCACAGGCCTGTAATCCCAGCAATCAGGAGGCAGAGGCTGAGGATCTGGAACTCACAGTTCAAGGCCAGGCTAGACTACTAGAGACCTTGTCTCAAAAATAAAGCAAAGCAGTCCTTATGAGCCACCATGGAGTTGGCTGAGGAATCAGATAGGTACAGCTTTTCCTCTTCTCTTTCTCCCAGATGTGGGGCAGAGCCTCAGCAGGCTTTTTGAATCCTGTGGGCTTCCTTTCTTTTTCTCTGAAGCTGGCTGCTCTCCATTGGTTGTCTGCATGTGGCTGACCTCCATGCCAACTTAAATGGCATGACTTTTCTTCTTTCTCTCCTCTCCTCTCCTCTCCTCCTCAGCTGCTGAGATTTATAGCTTGCATGCCCTGAGTGTTTTTCTTTTAAACTTTAATAAGATTTAAAAGGGAAAAAAACTAAAGATTTAGGTATTTTATTAAAGTGAAATAATTTCTAAATGTTAAAATCTTTATGTAAGTGTACTAAACAATAAAGATTTGGGATTTTTGTTTTGTTGTGCTGAGATTAAAACCTGGGCCTCTTGTACTCTTGTATGCTATATAACTATAACTGACTTATACCCTTAGGCTGAAATTGTGTGTGGGTGGTGTTTGTTGTTGTGTGTATTCATACCTGTATATCAATGTCATGGCCACAGTTGATGTCAGAAAACTTATTGACATTTTTGTTCTTGTTATTTTTTTTAAGATTTATTTATTATGTATACAACATTCCTTCTATGTATGCTTGCTTGCCAGAAGAGGGCACCAGATTTCATAACAGATGGCTGTGAGCCATCATGTGGTTGCTGGGAATTGAACTCAGGACCTCTGGAAGAGCAGTCAGTGCTCTTAACCTCTGAGCCATCTCTCCAGCTTGTTCTTGTTATTGAGACTGACCTCAAACACAGAGCTCTACCTGCCTCTGCCTCCCAAATGCTGGGACTAAAGGTATATGCCACCAAACTTGGCTCTCCACTTTATATCTTTTAATAAGATTTTTTTATTCATATGAATGTTTTGCCTGAGTGTATATATGTGTACTATGTACATGCCTGGTGCATACAAAAGTCAGAAGAAGGCAAAGGTTCCCCTGGAACTGGAGTTTATGAATGGTTGAGTCATCATGTGGATTCTGAGATCCGAGCACAGGTCCTCTACAAGAGCAGCAAGTGCTCTAATCTGCTGAGCCATTCTTCCAGCTTCTCAACTTTAAGGGTTTTTTTTTTTTTATTGTTTTGGGAGGAGAGGTTTTTTGTTTTTTTGGTTTGGGTTTTTTATTTCTGAGACAGGGTTTTATTATGTAGCCTTGGGGAGCCTGGAACTCTATGTAGACCAGGCTAGCCTCAAACTTAGGGAGATCAGGCTGTCTCTGCATCTCAAGTGCTGGGATCAAAGGTGTGTGCAACCACACTTGACTCCAGCTTATGTTCTAGGAACACTTGTTGCTGAACCTGGAGCTCCAGCTTGCTGTTTCAGGTAGTCTGGCAGACCTGAAAGCCCTGGGGTCCAACTGTCTCTCTCCAAACCCATCCCTTAGCACTGGGTTACAGGCTCGCATTACCACACTCAGCTGTTATTAAATGGATGTTGGGAATTCTGCCTTCCTCTGCCTCACAAGAACTGGGACAAAGGTTGTGCCCACCATGCCCAGCACTAATTTTTTATTAATAATTTTTAAGTTAAAATGTAATCATATCATTCCCCCCTTTTCCTCTATCCCCTCTCATATACCCCCTTCTTTATCTCAAATTCATGCCTTCTTTTTCTTCTTCATACACGCACTCCTAAATATATAAATATAGCTTTCTCAGTCCATATACTGTTATTTGTATATACATTATTTTAGGGCTGACCACTCATTGGATAACCAGTTGGATGCCTCTTCCCTGGGGAAGGCTATTTCTCTTGCTACTAGCAATCCTTAGTTGCCTTTTTTGTCTAGGTTTGGGGTCCCATGACATTCCCCTTTCCCTGTCAGCCTGTCTATTAATGTCTTCCTTGTTCAGGTCTTACTTAGAGAGCCATGCTGATGAGACTTCATGGGTGTGGCTTCCCTGATATTTCTAGGAAACACTCTCACAGCAGAGTTCCTGTTCCCTTGACTCTCGCAATCTTTCCATCCCTTCTCCCTAGATGATCTCAGATTTGGTGCAGGAATTGTGTTGGAGATACATCATTTGGGGCTGGATACCACAGAATTCCCTGTTCCTCTGCATTTTGATTTGTTGAGATTTTCTGCAATGGTCTCTGTTGCAAAGTTTCTTTCTGTAATAAAAGCTAGACCCTGTCTCAATGTACCACCCATTGCCAGGCGTGGAAGTGCAAAGGCCTTTAATCTCAGCAGAGGGAAGTAGAGGCAGGTGGGTTTTTGAGTTCAAGGTCAGCCTGGACAGCCAGGACTACACAGAGAAACCCTGTCTCAAAAAATAAAAACAAAACAACAACAAAAAGGTATCTCCAGTAAACCGACTGTAAAGTTATTGTATAGATCCACTAACAGTCGCTCTCTTTATAGGTTTCCTGTTTTAAATTCAGCGGCTGTTCAGCTCCTTTGCAATGTTTAGGATTACCATGTTATGGCATATTTTTACAGGTACATTGTTTAATGAAAGAATGACTTTGAACTGTTAACAAGAAGAGTATGGAATTCCTATGTACATTAATAGAAGCTCTAGTAATCTTAAAGCAATATAACATTGTAAAAATTTGTTAAGAGTATATTTGACTTTTTTTTAACTAGTGAGAATGTTTAGCATTTACTTACTTTATACAAATGAACTTAAATTTTGTTTGTTTTGTGTGTGTGTGTGTGTGTGTGTGTGTGAGAGAGAGAGAGAGAGAGAGAGAGAGAGAGAGAGAGAGAGAGAGAGAAAGACCTGAGAATTGAGCATAGGTCCTTAGGCATACTAGGTAAGCACTTTATCTCTGACCTGCAACCCAAGCCACTAGCCATAGCAGACTAAAGGCACAGATGTGTGCATGTGTTTGTAATTTATTTCCTTAGTCATGGTCTCACTATGTGGCCCTGGCTATCCTGGAACTCATTATGTAAACCAAAATGGCCTCAAACTCAGAGATTTGCTGCCTCTGCCTTCCAAGTGCTGGGATTAAAGGAGTCCATCGTTACACCCAGCTTTTTTATGAGTATTTTCAGTTTAAATTTATGGACTAGTTTCTTTAGAAATCAGACTATTATTTCAGTAATATTTACTAATCTCTTTTAAGCAGATAAAAGTTAAAGGTGTCATTTATTAAGTTTTATACTATGTGCCAGACACTGTCCTAAACAGTCTTCATGAATTATCTAATTAAAACTTATAGCCACCTTAGGCTCTTACCACATCCCTCAGGACTACCCGAAAGTCATATGCTGTATCCCAGGCCGCCAGCACCCAGAGTCTAGGACCCTACTGACAATCTTACAAAATACTTCTTTACTTTTTTCCATTTGTGTTGTACTTTCTATCTTTGGATTAAGTATTAAGATATGCATTCATGTAAAATTCAAAAGGAACAAAATATTTAAAGTAAAAAGTCTTCCTCCCAGGCCTACCTCCCATCCTCTGATTTCCTTTCACCAGAAATAATCACTGCTTAGCAATTTCTCTCATTCTAGAAGGAATAAAGTTAAATCATGGGGTGCTGGGATTGAAGACTATTTTTGATGTGTGTAGGTCTGGAGAGATGATCAGCAGATACGGGTTGGCTGTTCTTCCAGGTTTAGTTCACAGTATGCATACAGTGACCAATAACCATCCCAGCTCCAGTTGAAGGAGGTCCTACAGCCCTCTTCTGACCTTCTTGGGCATCAGGCACACACATGGTACATATACATATATGCAAGCAAAACATTTATACACATAAAATAAATCTAAATTTAAAAAAAAATTGTATTTGTGTCACTGTAAGAGTGACAACTTGTAGGAGCTGTGCTGCCTCCAATGCACTGTACCTGATGAGCCATCTCACTGTCCCAGAGATTATTATTTAAACCACTGAAATCCAGTTATTTTAAAAACTTATATGGGAGGCTAAGCGTGTGGCGAACACCTTTAATCCCAGTACTCAGGCAGAGGCAGAGGCGGAGGAGAGGCAGAGGCCAGCCCAGTCTACCTAATGACTTCTAGGTCAGTCAGGGTTGTAAATAAATAGTAAAAAGTAGATAAACAATTAATAAAGTACATGATTAATGAATGTATATAATTGTATGCTTTTTAAATCTACGTTTTATATGTTTGTATATTTTTATATGTTCCAGACAGTTATTAAATTTTGTCTTTTTTCATTTATTGAAAAACAAGCAAGTTATAATTAATTGCCATATTAACATAATATCATTATCAGTTGTAAGCAATATCGAAATGGCAGGTGTAAAAGTCTTAGACAGTTACTGTAAAACCAAGCCACAGAGGCTGAAAGACAATCCAGTAGGTGAAAGTAATGGACGTGTAAGTTCGAATCCCCAGCACCCCTGAGTAAGAAGCTTCCATTGTCATGGTGACCTGTAATCTCATCCATGAGGCTTGCTGGCTGCTAGCATAGCCAAAAACTACAAGTTCTAAGTTTGCTGAGGGAGTGTCCCAAAAAAATAGGAGCATGTAGAGGAAGACACCTGACACCCTTCTGTGCTGTATGGGTGGGCTCTTTGGTCATATACACACATATACACAAAAATTAATTAATAGTTTAGAGTGTGATTTAATTTCAGTTTAAAAACTGATTCACAAAACCAGGACTAGAGTCCCATTACTCAAACTTCCTACAGGCAGAGCTAGGGTTTGAGGCCACTCATAGCACAGTGGAGAGAGAGATACAAACTGAGAGAGCTATAGAGATCGGCTAAGAATACTTGATGTTCTTGCAGAACACCAAAGATTGGTTCCCACAATTGTCTGTAGCTCCACTCTTCTCGCTTCCACAAGCACCTTCACTCATATGACATAACCTCACAGAGACACATACACATCAATAAAAATAAATTTATAGAAACCTTAAAATTTTTCTGGGTATTTGTGGCACATGAACTCAGGAGAGGCAAGCAGATCTCTGAGTTCGAGGCCAGCCTGATCTACATGGTGAGTTCCAGGAACTTGAAAAAAAAAACAATAAATAAATAAGTAAAACTTTCTTCTAATGAAAAAGAAACGAGATTTTGGAGAATTTCTAGGTTGTGACTATATAGATTTCTTGTGAATTGAGAGCAAAAATTGCACATCACGTAGATCATATACTACAAACAGCCTGTTGTTCCTAGGAAGTAGTGGCTCACCCTTCCCCTCTGTGTCTGAACCTGTGCAATGTTTCTTCTGTTTTCCTCAGACATTAACAGCAGGTTGGGATGACCTCGAGTGCCACCGTGTTTATAACTTCTTATGTGAGCTGACTAATCTCTCCCGTAAGATGCAGACTGTTGTCTGTAACAAAGCAGGTAAAGAACTTCACTTCAAAGATAATATTGTATAGAAATGAAATGTTAAGAAGAGGTAGTGTTCAAAAGTATACATAAAACAAGTCGTGGATGGGTGGGCTGTAGCTCAGCTGGTAGTGGGTTCGATCCGATCCCCAGCACCACAGAAACTAGGATAGTCTACTTCCTGTTCGTCATTTCTCTGGCAACATAGAATGGACAGGGACAAACTCTAAATCCAAGATGGTGATTTTTCTGGGGAAAGTGATTGGAATTGATAAACTAAAAACTCAACATTTCTAATATTTATTTATTTTAAAACCCCAAAGCAAACATAGATATAAAACTTTGACTAAATTACTTGATTTGTATACTGTATTTCTCATTCTATTTTTACTTTTCTGTCAACTTGAAACATTTCACTTTTTAAAAAAGTGATGACTCAGGCCGTGTTGGTGCACGGCTTTAATCTCAACACTTGGGAGGCAGAAGCAGGCAAATGTCTGTGAATTCAAGGCCAGCCTAGTCTACGGAGGGAGTTCCAGGACAGCTGAGGCTACGCAGAGAGAAACCCTGTCTTGACCCCCCCCCAAAGAAAAGGTGATGGATAAAAAGGCAGATTTATTTATGTCTTTGCCTGTTATGTCTCATTATGTTTCTTTCCTGCTGAGGATTGAACCTAGGATATTGAATGTGGTACAGTCTACCATTGGGCAACATTCCTAGCACTAAGAGTGTTCCTAGGGTACTGAATGTGGTGGGGTCTACAATTAGGCTACTTCCCTAGCATCAAGAGTTTCACTATAGTGGCTCAGAGGTTAAGAGAACTGACTGCTGTTCCGGAGGTCCTGAGTTCAATTCCCAGCAACCACATGATGGCTCACACCCATCTATAATGAGATCTGGTGCCCAGAACCCTATATACATAATAAATAAATTTAAAAAAAAAAAAGAGTTTCACTATAGCCGGGCGGTGGTGGCGCACGCCTTCAATCCTAGCACTCCGGAGGCAGAGGCAGGCGGAGTTCGAGGCCAGCCTGCTCTAGAAGAGCTANAACAAAAAAAAAAAAAAAAAAAAAAAAAAAAGAGTTTCACTATGTAGCACAGGCTGTCCTCCAACTTAATATGTAGGCACTTAATATGTAGGCCATTATAGCTTCAAACTTACAATCCTCCTGCTTTGACTTGATAACACATTTTTGGGTTTTGTTTTGGGGGTTTTGTGGGGTTTTTCTGGTTTGGTTTGGTTTTTTGAGACAGGGTTTCTCTGTCGCTTTGGAACCTGTCCTAGAACTAACTCTGGATCTGGCTGGCCTCAAACTCGCAGAGATCCGCCTGCCTCTGCTTCCTGAGTGCTGGGATTAAAGGCGTGCGCCACCACTGCCTGATGATAACACAATTTCACATGCATTTCCTCTGATAAAAAACTTCTTCCTAACATATTCAAAATAAAATCTGAGCTATATAAACTAGCCTCCAGATTCTGGTCCCCACCTACTTTCTCAAACTCATTGTACAGACCTTTAATCCCAGCATTCAAAAGGCAGACTCAGTGAATCTCTGTGAGTTTGAGGCCTGGCTGGTCTATGTACTGAGTTCCAAGATAACCAGAGCTACACAGAGAGATTCTGTGTCAAAAATAATCAGACTTCCTGTCTACTCTTTTAGTCTGACCTGAGCATATTGTTCTTTCTGTTCACTGTGTCTCCAATGCCCTTGATGCCTTTGTTGTATCTCACTGGGAACCTTTTTCATTTTCTCATTTTCCTAATACTATTTTTCTATCTCATGCCTTAAGAGTCAATTTGGGGTCTGGGCATATAGTTCAGGTGGTGGTAGAATGCTTTCCTAGCCTGCCCCAACACTAAATAAAACTGATCGTGATGATACATGCCTATCACCCCAGCACTTCGGAGTGGGAACCAGGTGGGCCAGAAACTCACAGTCATCCTTAGCTATATACTGAGTCCAAGGCCAGCCTGGGATACAGGAGACCCTGTCTAAATATATAAATCTAAAATTATATAAGATTCTGATAAAATTGAGTATGGATTTGACTTAACCATTATTCAAAGTATTGAAACTAAATAAGGAAAGTAAGCACAAGAAGAAAGCCAAACTCTAAAGTTAGGGCACCTTTTACTTCTTGGTGACTTCCTGTTTATACACTCAGTTTATGATCTCTCTTTTAACCACAGTGGTTAACACCTGGCTCTGATCACTATCCACTATGGAACTTACCTTTCTAAAAAAAAAAAAAAATGATTTACAACTTTTTATCTATAGGAAGTGCCCGAAAGCTGGAGTTAAGGATTAGACTATTCTGTAGAAATGTCCTCCTTGATCACTGGACACAACGAAGTGATTCTGCATTTTGGTTGACTCGAATATTAAAACCATGGCCAATGGTGAATCAGGCAAGATTGCTATATATTATCTTTGGACCAACATCTCCTCAGGATGGTAAGCACCATTTTTTTTTTCAGGGATGTATGTTATATACCTGGTTAATTACTTTTTTTAATTTTATTTTATTTATTTATTTGTTGAAAAAAAATTGCCGCCTTCTCCCCGCCTCCCACTCCTCTCCCCCCCCCCCCCCCCCCCCCCCCCCCCCCCCCTCCTCCTCCCCCTCCCCTACTCCTCTCCCCAGCCCCCCACTCCTCTCCCTGTGGTTAATTACTTTTACTTTAGAAAGGCTTTTAAAAACTCTACTGGCTGATGCACAGTTTTAGTCCCAGCACTCCTCAGGAGGTAGAGCAGCAGGTCTCTGTGAGTTCAAGGCCAGGCTATTCTACACATCTTTTTACCACTCTAGAGGCAATGGGACCTGGAAGAATGAAACCTAAAAATGAGGCAGACTAAAATCTCACACAATAGCCAACTTTATTCAGAACATCAGACAATTTCTAACTCTGAGGGTTAAGAAGAGTCACATGAAGCCAGGCAGTGGTGGTGCAAGGTTTTAATCCCAGAACTCAGGAGGCAGAGGCAGGTGGATCTCTGTAAATTCAAGGCCAGCCTGGTCTACAAAGTGAGTTCCAGGACAGCCAGGGCTGTTACACAAGAAACCCTGTCTCGAAAAGAAGATTTACATTAGTAAAGTGTTGTATCACAAGGACAAGCCATACATGGTAAAAACATGTTTTTCCACAGAGGCATATAAACAAATAACAGTTTCTATTTGTAATGAATAATCTGAAATAAACTCACTTCTGTCGCTACACCTGGGAAAAGCATGAAAACATATCCCAAGAAAAATTTCATACTTTTGAAGAAACTGAGTCACTCGGCTTGTTTGTTGGAGTTTTCTCACAAGCACTCAGAACTCTTCTCACATGACTCCATTCTTGGACTGTATTCCAACACATAGAGTTCCAGACCAGTCAGAGATGCATAGTGTCTTAGGGTCTATAGCTGTGTAGGGACACCATGGCCACGGCAACTCTTATAAAGGAAAGCATTTCATTGGGGCTGGCTTACAGTTTCAGAGATTTAGTCCATTATCATCATGGCAGGTGGTGTCCAGGCAGACACAGTGCTGGAGAAGGAACTGAGAGTTCTACATCTTGATTCTCAGACAGTAGGATGTGAACTGTGTCACACGTGGGCATAGCTTGAACATATAAGACCTCAAAACCTGCCTCCACAGTTCACACTTTCTCCAACAAGGCCACACCTCTTAATAGTGCCACTCCCCATGGGCATTCAAACCCATGCATCTCTGGGGGTCATACCTACTCAAACCACCACAGTAAGACTTTTTCTCAAAAATAAATAATTACCATCTATTTATTATTTATTTTGTATATGTGTAATGTGCATGTCTGTGGAGATCAGAGGACAAATTGCAGGCATCACTTCTCACTTTTACTGTGGGATTCTGGGATGGCCGTTAGGTCATTAGGTTGACAGCAAGCATCTTTACACCTTTACCTACTGGGCCACATTGCAGACCCTGGGAAGGTCTTTTGTCTTTACTCAGCTTCATCAGTGCTAGTTTAAAATGTGCTTCACAGTTTCAAAACATACCGCATTAACTTGTGCATACCCCGAGCTTCAAGACAGGAATTGTTCTTCTCTTAGTCAAAACCAGGTATATTCCTGTCCTCCCCCCTTTCTTTTTTTGAGAGAGGGTTTCTCTGTAGCCCTGGCTGTCCTGGAGCTCACTCTGTAGACCAGGCTGGCCTCAGACTCACTGATCTGCCTGCCTCTGCCTTCCAAGTGCTGGGATTAAAGGCGTGGGCCACCATACCTGACTGCTTTTCCATCTTAAACATTAGTGTAACTCAAGGTTATATTTGCAACTTGAAGGGGCTAATGATACTAAAAAACAAAACAGTGGTCCAAATTGATGATTTATTTAGTGTTAGGTTTTCAGATTCATAACTTTTTTAAAAGTTTATTACCTAGATTGTGCTTACATTAGTGTCAAAATTTATCTTACCTTTCCTTATTCCACTTTTATCAATAGATAACCAGTTTTAATGCATATTGGTTAGCAGCCAGGACTTTTATTTTAAAATGAAAATGTTGTTGTGTATAAGCTGCAGAGAAGATTGTGAGAGATAAATAAATAGAAGATGACTGAGCTGCTCTGTTGTGATATAAATGTTTGAAAGATACTAATAGAAGCAAGCTCCTTTCTAGAAGGATACCAATAGATTTGACTTGATTTTAGTAAAATTATAGCAGTTGATATTCTAATCTGTATTATAGGGTAATATCTTTGAACTAAAAACACTGTTCTTTGAGGCTGGGAGATAGTTCAGTACTTAATGTGCTTTCTGTGCAAACATGAAGAACTGACTTTGGTCCCCAGTACCCAGGTAAAAATCTGGGTGTAGGGGCTGGCAAGATGGCTCAGCAGTTAAGAGTACTACTAGCTGCTCATCCAGAGGACCTGGGTTTAATTCCCAGAACCCACATGGCGGCTCACAACTGTCTATGACTCCAGTTTCAGGGGATCCGGCATCCTCACACAGATAAACATGGAGACAAAACACCAGTGCACATAAAATAAAAATAAATTAAAAAAAAATCTGGGTGTAATGGCTTGCACTAGTAACCCAGCACTGAGGATGCAGCAATGGGCATATCCCTGGGCCTCCCAGTCATATTAACCTGAGAAGTGAGCCCCAGGTCCCAGTGAAAGACTCTGTCTCAAAAAACCAAAAATAAAAAAGTGAATGATTCTTAAGGAAGGACACCCTAGCTTTCATATGCATGGACACTCACACATGAGAAGAACAAAACAAATAATAAATAGATAAAAGCACTGTTCTTTTGTTTTGTTTTGAAGCAGAATTGGGGCTTAATAAAGATATGTTAAACCAGGCAGTGGTGGCACACTCCTTTAATCCCAGTACTCGGGAGGCAGAAACAGGCGGATCTCTGTGAATTTGAGGCCAGCCTGGTCTACAAGAGCTAGTTACAGGACAGGCTCCAAAGCTACAGAGAAACCCTGTCTCAAAACAAATAAATAAATACATGTTAATATAAAGGGTTGGAGAGATGACTCAGTGGCTAAGAGCACTGACTGCTCTTCCAGAGGACCTAGGCTTGATTCCCAGCACCCACATGGTAGTTCAAAACTATCTGTAACTTCCATACCAGGGGATTCTGACTTCTGCTGGCACTAGGTGTACATGTTACATAGACATATATGCAGGCAAACATTCATACACATAAAATAATATAAGCAAAACCTCTATAATCCCCAGTAACAAAAATTTAAATTAAAAATATATGTTAATATAGGCTTAAGCAGAGACTTAAGAGAACTCTTTCTTAGAAGAAAGTAACATGGTAACCTGGGTGTGGGTTCTCAGAGAATTGTTGAAAGGAAAACTTACCAGAGCATGGGTACAAGCTCCTCAGGAGAGAGGCACAAACACACTGTTCTGCAAGTTCAAGTTGCTTGGTTTAGAAATTGTTGCTGTGTTTCATCACAGTTAACAAGAAACTCAAATTTATGATGATATTAGAATTTACATTTTAATGGTGAATGTAGTTTATGTAAGTAATAGGATTGTGTAATCCTTTCCATTCTAAACAAATCCTGAAGTCTTTTTCACAAAACTATCTATTCTGTCATAGCCTACTTATTGTTTCAATCCAGGGCAGGTGATTTGGCAGGAAATGGTGGAAGGGCCCACAGATGAATCCAGTCTGAAAGGCTTGGCTAATGCCATTAAGCTGCTGTATGAAACAGGTACCAAAGAGTGGACAGCAGATGATGTTATCAGTCTTGTAGATGAACTCTCAGGTAAAATGTATATTTACTAATATAGAGTAATAGAAACTTATGCTTAGAATACAGCCATAAAATTATATAGAAAATCCCCTCGGTAACAATGAAGAGAGTATTAGAAATCACTAACTGCTCAATATGTAGTTTTAAGTATGTTTTGTTATTTACTGCTCTGAAACATTTTTAGTTTTATGTTATGTTTGTGTGTGTGTAGTATGTAAATACATGTGGTTTAAGAATCTGTTTATTTCAATTTGCAATTTTTTTCTTTTTTTTTAATAAATATTTTATTTATTACATATACAATACAGTGTTCTGCCGCCATGTATGCCTGCATGCCAGAAGAGGGCACCAGATTTCATAACAGATGGCTGTGAGCCATCATGTGGTTGCTGGGAATTGAACTCAGGACCTCTGGAAGAGCAGTCAGTNAATATTTTATTTATTACATATACAATACAGTGTTCTGCCGCCATGTATGCCTGCATGCCAGAAGAAGACACCAGATCTCATTTTAGATGGTTGTGAGCCACCATGTGGTTGCTGGGAATTGAACTCAGGACCCCTGGAAGAACAGTCAGTGTCCTTAACCTCTGAGCCATCTCTCCAGCCCCCAATTTGCAATTTTTTAAATTAAATTTGTTCTTTGGCAATTTCATGCATTTATATATTCTGATTACTCTTGCTCTTTGCCCTCTTTTAGCTCCCTCCCCCCATAGACTCCCTTCCTCCTCCCTATAAGACTTTCTCTCTATCATGTCTTTTTGTTTTGTGACTCACTAAGTTTAACCAGGTCTGTCCACATGACCACGGCTATGGAACTGTCACCCAGAGCCTGGTAGACTCCCCAGTGGGTACACAACTGAAACAATGTCTACCATTGCCATAGCATCCATCAAAGCCAACAGTTCTCCAGGAGGGATTCAATTCCCAATTTTATATACAATATAATTAGGTCACTTCATAGTTTAATGTGTTTTCTTGCTCTAATTTACAAGTTCTCACACATACATACCTTCTAGATTATATAAAAGTCCTCTGGTGCTGTAGGGGAGGGTTAAGTAGTTACTCTGACGTTTACAAAGGCTTTGTCCTTAAATGTCATGTCACTTTGCCTGCTGAAGAATGTGTAGAAAAATTGATTTGACTCAGCTATGGCAGCACAATGGTAAACACCATGACATGGGGTGATCCCTGTCTCTGGCTGAATGCTGTAACTGAAAAACTAAAATATGACAGACATGGTGGCACACACCTCTAATCCAGCACTCATGAGGCAGAGACAGACAGATCTCTGAAGCCAGCCTGATCTACAGCATAAGTTCCAGGACAGCCAGGAAACACACAGAAACCCTGTCTCAAAAAGGAAAGAAAGAACAAACCTAAAACATTGTTTCTGAGTATTTCCCTTGGCACTAATTACATTTCCAATAAGTAATATAATATTGAATGTGTTTAAAGATGTTTACTACAGCAATTGTGTAATTTATCATTAAATAACTGTTCTTCCTCTTATAAAAGTGGTTCCCAGGGAGTGGCTTCTGGAGAATAATGCACGCCTCCTAATCCTGAGCGGGAACAACATCTGCTTCACATTCATGGCTAGTAAAGCTGTGAACGGAAGGGCCATTGAGCTGGCAAGGCTCATAGTCTTTTTGGCTTTGGTAAGTAAAAACTAAGGTTTTCTCTGACAAGTTATTTAGCATTCATTTGACCCAGCAATGGAGCTGCTTCTCTGGTGCTTACAAAGCCCCAGCCTCCCCTCCCCCCCATCTCTCATACACACACACACACACACACACACATACACACACACACACACACACACAGAGTCTACCAGGAACTGAGATTTAGAGAAAAAATTATTAAAAAATTAAATATTGCTGGGCAGTCGTGGCATACACCTTTAATCCCAGCACTCAGGAAGCAGAGGCAAGTGGATCTCTGTGAGTTCGAGGCCAGTCTGGTCTACAAAGGGAGTTCCAGGACAGGCTCCAAAGCTACAGAGAAACCCTGTCTCGAAAAAAAAAAAAAAAAGGAAGGAAGAAAGAAGAAACTCTGTCTTGAAAAACTAAATAAAATAAAAATATTACATATTAAAGTACATATTTTATTTGTTTGTTTTTGGTTTTTGAGACAGTCTTATTTTGCCCAGGTTGGCCCCAAACTCACTACGTAAGCAAAGGTGACCTTGAATTTGAGTGCTGGGATTACGCACGCCAACCCACACCATCTTCCGCACTTACTGAGCATTTCCCAGTGTGGACTCAGTGGGGTATCTTAGTCAGTAAACTGCTACTTCGTAAGCTGTCATTGTCACCACCACTTTAAGCTTTACAGCTTTTTTCATGTGAAGACCGATAGTAGTGCTTTGTGCTTGTGACTCAGGTGTGTGAGAAGGAGCTGTACTGCATGGACTGGACAGTGAAGATGATGCAAAAGGTCTGCAAGGTCTTCAGCACTGCAGCAGAGAGAAAGAGCTTCCTGCAGAGTGTGGCCAATGCCTTTGCCTGTATCACCATGGAAATGCTGCAGCCTATCATGTCTGGTAAGTGAGAGTGTAGGCAGCACATAGGAGTGAGTGATAGTGCCTTCAGTGCACACCTATGGTCCATCTACTTGAGCCTGAGCAAAAGATCTGAAGTTTGAGCCAGCCTGGACTACATAGTGAAACCGAGCCTGGGAGATTAGGAGATTGATTTTGGTTTTGTGAGATAGGGTGTCTGTCTTTCTGTCTGTCTGTTTCTCTCCTCTCTCTCTCTCTCTCTCTCTCTCTCTCTCTCTCTCTCTCTCTCTCATCCTGGCTGACATGGAATTCGCTTGAACTCACAGATAGGTAACTGCCTCTGCCTTCCAAATTCTGAGACTAGAGAGACTACCATGTCCTGGAAACTAGCTCTTTTTTTTTTTTTAATTTATTTATTATGTATACAATATTCTGTCTGTGTGTATGCCTGCAGGCCAGCAGAGGGCACCAGACCCCATTACAGATGGTTGTGAGCCACCATGTGGTTGCTGGGGAACTCAGAGCCTTTGGAAGAGTAGGCAATGCTCTCAACCTCTGAGCCATCTCTCCAGCCCTGGAACTAGCTCTTGTAGACCAGGTGTGCACTGACCTCGGACTCATAGAGATCCACCTGCCTTTGCCTCCCGAGTGCTGGGATTAAAGGCTTGTGCCACCACTGCCCAGTTTACCCTTTTTTTAAAAAAAGCTTTTTTTGGAGCTCATACAAATCCACCTGCCTCTGCCTCCCAAGTGCTGGGATTAAAGTTGTGCACCACTACCACCTGGCTTTTGCTGTTGTCATTTCATTTTGCCTGCATTTGTGTCTGTTCACCATGTGCATGTCTGAAGGTTGTTGGATCCCTTGGAACTTTATAGATGGTTGTGAGTCACCAAGTGTGTGCTGAGAATTGAACCAGTGTCCTTTGCAAGAAGGTACTGGCTGGTGCTTTTGTTTTGTTTTTGTTTTTGTTTTTCAAGACAGGGTTTCTCTGTAGCTTTGGAGCCTGTCCTGGAACTAGCTCTTGTAGACCAGGCTGGCCGCGAACTCACAGAGATCCGCCTGCCTCTGCCACCCGATTGCTGGGATTAAAGTGTGCGTCACCCCCACCCGGCTCTGGCTGGTGCTCTTAACCAATTAGCCATCTCTCCAGCTCCTGATTAGCCCTGTGTTATAGATGAGGAAAAGGAAACACAGAAATAACCTGACTTTCCCAAGGTCATAAATTTAAAAATGATAAAGCTTAGACAGGTGTCCTTTCCTGTTTTTTCTCTAGTGTCTAATTTCATAGCTTTAGTGGTGACAGTCTGGTTTAGTAAAGACCATCAACAAAAATTCTTCTCTTTAAATATTATTAGAAACACTTAGAACAACTTACATTCCTAAGCCATGTGCTCAGATGTTTAACTCTTTCCTCTCCCTGCTATCTGTTCCTGTATATATGTCACAGGAGAGCGCGATGACGATGACAGAGGCTTCCTGAATTTGTTCCATCTTCTGCATGCTCAGGCGAACTTCCATAAGGAGGTGCTGTATTTGTCCATGAATACTTCCTCTTCCTAAGTCAAGACCCTCGTCCCTTAAAGACTGTGTCACCAGACTAGTCCTTAGGAGAATGACGATTTTTCACATCCAAGGGTAGCACCTGTTGGACTTTTGACAATCTAATTAACCAGAAACTCCAGCTGCACAGGATTTTAGCTGTAACTGCTTTACTCTGATTAATGTTAAATAACAGCAAACCCAAGAATGTGCTGTGACTCTTCTAGAAAGTAAGCTCACAACAGGATGTTACGATGGTCAGAGTCTGCAGCTGCTCAACCTATTCGTGTGACTCTTTGAAGCAGGAGCTAATTCTGCTTTATTCAGAACAGATTCACAGTTGCTAACTAGTGCTATCTGTCATTTTGCTTAGGTTGAGCAAATATGGCACAAATGTTTGTGAGGATCTGTAATACTGTTTCAGAATGTGCTTTATGTAAGTCACATTCTTCACCACCTTCTCAGCATATGGTTACAAAATAAATCTTATATTTCATTTATAATTTGTATGAACTAACAGAATGCATACATATATGTAAATTTTATACATATAGACACATATACATATATTTTCTGCAAGACAATCATACAAAAGGTCTACAAAGAGAGGATCTTCAGATAATGGAATCATCTTGTAACTTCCCTGGGGATTAGAGCAGAGAATGCAAGCAGGAGATAAACATATGAAAGTAAATTCCCTGAACATCTTCACAAGTGACTCCCCTTCTTGGTAAGCCTGTCCTCCCTATCCCAGAAAGTAGGGTTTGATGAGGGAGCTGAAAACATACATGCTCAGAGTAGGCAGAGAGTGGAGACAGGCAGAATGAACCAGCCCGTTGAGTAGACTTACCCCTCCCTTCACTTCCACTTCCTAGGAAGGGACCTGTAATGCAGGGACTCTGGAGCTCTTGCTTTCTCTTCCCACCCCTGGCCTCAGTCACATTGCAAGGCTTTGTATGAGTAAAGGAGCACTCTACCTCTGAACTGGATCCCTAGTCCACCTACACCTTCCACTGGACTTCTTTTCCTCAAAACACTGGGAGATAAGGAAATTATCTTCAATGGCAGGGTGTAAAGAAAATTCATGAATTTTAACAAAAGGGCCCAGAGAATTTGATAGGACCGAGGAGCAGTAAAAATTGAGGAGAAATAAAAATTGTGATAATACCATCAATACAGAAGTATCAAAATTAATTGCCTTTGTGCTGTCCAATTATAATTCTACTGTAGGAAGAATTTTTTTATTTGAAGATTTGGGGGTGGGGGAAGAGTCTTGCTTTTATAAACCTCATTCATTTTCTTCTGCTCAGTTGAGGAAATGATCTGTCGCAATCAGCCTGGGCAGCTTTGGTAACAGCACCTACTAGAATACAAAGTAACACCTCAGAGCCCTTCATATTTCCTGTCTGTGATATTTCCATAACCACTTTGGAAAGATAACTATTTTTACTTCTGAAGCACTAATGATTTCAATGTGATCTTATCTTGAAAAGAAAAAAAATCAAATGTTACTATGAACAGTATTTTAAAGATTATACTTATTTATTTTTATTTATATTTTATTTTTTTATTTTTTATTTTTTGACTCAAGAGTTTCTCTACATACCACTAGTTGTCTTGAAACTCACTCTGTAGACCAGGCTCATCTCAAATTCACAGAGATCCGCCTGTCTTTGCCTCCTGCGTACTGGGATTAAAGGTTTATGCCACCACATCCGCCTCTAAAGATTTTGATAAATAGATTATTTCATTTTCTGGGGCTAAGAGCTGATTGTTCTTACAGAGAACTTGGGTTCAGTCCCCAGCACTCCCGTTCCAGGGGATCCATGCCTTCTTCTGGCCTCTGCAGACATACTTATGGTGCACATCCACCTATCCATCCATCTAGGCAAAACACTCGTACACATAGGATAAATAGAAATCTTTTTCTAAAAGATAATTTGATTTTCTTAGAGACAGAAATGTGTAATTATGAAGTTTGCTTTAATTCCTTGAATGACATATAAGTTTTCACCAAAGTCATTTTTAGAAATTTTATCAAAGAAGCTTTTGTTTTGTTTTGTTTTGTTTTGTTTTTTGAGACAGGATTTCTCTGTAGCTGTGGAGCCTGTCCTGGAACTAGCTCTTGTTGACCAGGCTGGCCTCAAACTCACAGAGATCCTCCTGCCTTTCCCTCCCGAGTACTGGGATTAAAGGTGTGCGCCACCACTTTTTTTCTCTCTCTAAAAAGTAAATTGACAAGTTTTTCATGTAATTGTTAATAGACAAAATAAATTTGGAAACAAATTTGTGATTTCCACAATTGTGATCCAGTTGATTTTGCTGAGTACATTTATCATCAGAACTAAAGTGATTTTGAGTTTTAAAGAGGATGTTAACTGAAGGAAGCATTTGTTCAGGGGGATAAGTAACAGGCCGTCTAATTAACCACAAAATAATGGAGCCTTTGAGAGTGAGGAGCCCAGAGCACTAGGACTGACTAGACTAGGACGGCCACAAAACACTGCGCCCATTTTCCACCAGAGACACAATGTCTCCCGTCTCTCCCACACCACATCAGTCTCCACGATCACTGGAGACCCAGGGTCCCAGCATGCCTTTCCTTTTCCCAGGGCTCCCCTTGGCCTCCTTTGGCTTTGGTTTCTAGGGTGGGCTTTCCTTTTCCATCACAATACTGCTCCTGGTTGTTGGTGGTGTACACACAACATAACTACTTGTTTTAGAACTGAAGTTTATATCTTGTGATGACTCTTTTAACCATGTGAACCCATAGATTCCTCTTACACTGTTGTGGATGACACCATCTGTCCCCTCAGTCGTATGTGGCAGTTGGTGGGATCCAGCCAAAATTCGGCACTGCTCCTCAGCAGCTGCTTCTGAGTTCCTTATCCTGGGCTGACTCCATGGCCCTTTCAGGACTTTGTTCCTAGGGTAACTGCTCACTTTTGGAGAGCAGAGCCAGCATGAGGTGCCCAGGAGAAGGTGTAATGGCAGAACAATTTTATGTCTAAGAAATAAACACGACGTCTTTGTGGGATTATTCTCAAGGTCAGCATCCTTATGTAAATAGTATTCAATCAAATGATTGCAGGCTTGAACATGCCTTTGACAGCCTCTGTGTGTTCTGGAAATCTTATTAGCAGTCCACTAGCCGTGTGCACTGTTATCTCAAAAGAACTGTGTTGTGTTAAATGTTTTTGATACCTAATATTGTATTTGCTAAATTTTATTTAATTCCTTATTCATTTTAATAAAATTAAGTTTAAACTGGAAGTATTTTGATTATGTTCAGAGTTTGTTATTATTCTAGTCATTAACTTTCTTGAAATGTACTTCTCTTTCTTTAAGCTGTTAATTTTTGTCTCTCTGTTTTTAGACAGGGTCTTACTATGTAGCTCTGGCTGGACTGGAACTATGTAGATCAGGCTGGTCTCAAACTCACAGAGCTCCTCCTCTGCCTCTGGAGTGCTGGAACTAAAGGCTCCTGCCACCACTGCCTGACTAAGCTATCAATTAAACTCTACAGTGATTTTAAAAACTGAATTTTAGAGCTTGGTTGTGTGCCTGTAATTCCAGCACTTGGGAGGTAGGGGCAGAGGCAGGAAGATTGCTGCTAATTTGAAGCCAACCTGATGTACACACCAAGTTCTAGTCCAGTCAGAACTGCATCCACAGCAAGACCTTGTCTCAAAACAAACTGAGCCCTGTTTTCAAACATTGGGGTGGGAGCCGAAGCCAGCACCTTGCACATCCCAGGCTGTGCCCTGTTCAGGAGCTGAGGAGGGAGCTCAGGGTCTCAGGCGTGCCGGACACCACTCTACTCCTAGGGTACAGTGCAGGCCCCAGGGAAGCAGACAGTTCTAATGTATCTATCTTATCCTTAATAGTATAACATCCAGAGATTAATAACTTCATTTGCTAGCAATTTCTCATAAACTGAGCAGTAATCTGTAAGTAGAACACTGTACACTGTTCTCTTTTAATTCAGAGAAATCTCCAAGCATTATTCCAATTGCTACTAAAACAGAGATATTAGAATTATCAGTTTAACGCACTTCCAAACCCCTAAGTAAATATGGTGTGTTACCAGTAACTGCCTGAAACTTCAAGATTTCAGTGTGTGTCTGTATCCCTTCCTTCAGTTGGGATGGAGGCAGATACAACCCTGGGCATTGCCCAAGATAGCTAAGTGATCCTTCTGTGTTTTAGTTGGGCATAGTGGTGCAAGCACTTGGGAGGCAGAGGCAGGTGGATCTCTGTGAGTTTGAGGCCAGTCTAGTCTACAGAACAAGTTCCAGGCTAGCCAAGGCTACACAGTAAAATCTGTTTTAAGAAAAGAATATTAAAATTAAGATGAGGTATTGATTCTAGGCCTAACAAAAGCCACGTTCAATAAATAGACAGTTTCCACCTCAGCTCTGCTAAAGTTTCTAAGGGAAAACGTTATTTATAATTTCAAGTTTAAATGATATGTTAAAGGATTTTAAATTTTGAATAATGCTAAATTTAAACATGTTTTTTGAAAAGCAAGATCTCTTTTCTGAAATTTAATAGATGTTTTCAGCCCCATTTCAAAGATAAACTTCCAGTTTGAATTCACACACTCAGAAAAATACATTGAAGGTATCTGGCTTTGCAGTGTTTCACTCCGTTATTAAACTTTCTTAGCATTTACCCTTTTAATAATTTTCCTAAAATAAATTATATCACTTTCTAGACTTTCATCAAAAAATATTAGTGTAGAGCCAGGTGGTGATGGTATGTGCCTTTAATCCCAACACTTGGGAGGCAGAGACAGGCAGATCTTTACGAGTTTGAGCCCAGCCTGGTCTATAGCGCAAGTCCCAGGACAGGCTCAAAAGCTACAGACAAACCCTGCTTCAAAAAAAAAAAAAACATTAAAAATTAATGTAATATTTCTTAGGATTATGTCATCTTAATTTTTTCAGCATAATTTCTAGTGATTTAGATCCATTTTACTGCATTGGCATGAGCCAGATTTAACTCCCATCTTTCTGGACATGATGGCACTGGAACAGAAATCTGTAAAATGTATACAAAATTTTATATTACACAAATAAAAATTTTAGTGTTAGGAGCTGGAGAGATGACTCAGCGGTTAGGAGCACTGGCTGCTCTTCCAGAGGACCTGGGTTCAGTGCCCAGCACCCACATGGCAGCTCACAACTGTCTGTAACTCCAGTTCCAGGGGATCTGATACCCTTCACATCAGTGCACATAAAATAAAGTTAAATAGCCAGGTAGTGGTGGCACATGCCTTTAATCCCAGTACTCAGGGAGGCAGAGGCAAGCGGATCTCTGTGAGTTTGAGGCCAATCTGGTCTACTAGAGCTAGTTCTAGGAGAGGCTCCAAAGCTACAGAGAAACCCTGTTTTATAAAACCAAAAATAACAACAATAAAAAAGTTAAATGAAATTCAGATAAAGAAAAAGAATGTTAATAAAAAATTTCAGTGTTTGATGGTGCTTGAGAATGCCAATATACATGTAGTTTAAATATGAAATATAGCATTCTCCAGCTAGCCTATAATCCCAGTACTTGGGAGTCTGAGGCAAGAGGATTGTCACAAATTCAAGGCCAGCCTAAGGTACATAATGGATTCTAAGACAGCTAGAAGTAAAAAAAAAAAAAAAAAAAAAAAAAGTTTACTTTTTTCTAACTATTGGAGAGGCACGAAGATCACTTGATCCCAGAAGCTTGAGACCGACCTAGACAGAGCTTGGAGACTATCTTTAAAAAAGTAAAATAAAATATTATCTGGGTAGTGGTGGTGCATACCTTCAGTCCCAACACTCAGGTGGCAGAGGCAGGTGGATAGTCTATGAGTTTGAGGACAGCCTGGTGTATAAAACGAATTTCAGGATAGAGAGACCCTGTTTCAAAATATATATATGCAATATATTATTATGTATAATGTATTATTATATAATATTTATTATATATTTTATTATATTATAAAACATATACATTTTATTTATATATAAATACATATTATAGGGACTGGAGAGATGGCTCAGCAGTTAAGAGCCTGCTCTTCCAAAGGTCCTGAGTTCAATTCCCAGCAACCACATGGTGCCTCACAACCATCTGGAATGAGGTCTGGTGCCCTCTTCTGGCCTGCAGGAATACATGTAGACAAAATATTGTATACATAATAAATAATATAAATAATAAAAATAAATAAATAAATATTACATATAAATACATATTATATATAAATAAAATGTTGTTTTGATTTGTGTTTTTGAGATAAGGGTCTCACTATGTGGCCTGGGAATTCACTCTGTAGACCAGGCTGGCCTCAAACTTACAGACCATCCTCCTGCCTCTGCTTCCTGCTGATTAAAAGGTATGTGCCACTATGGGCAAAATAAATTTATCAGGGCTGGAGAGCTGGCTCAGCAATGAAAAGCAATAGCTGCTCTTGCAGAGGACAGAGTTCAATTCCTAATACTGCTTGTCGGCTCACAATTGTCTGTAGCTACATTTCTAGGAGATCCAACACTATCTTCTGACCTCTGCTCCACAGGCATCAGGCACACGTGTGGTACACAGACATACACGCAGGCAAAACACCTGTATACATAAAATAACAATATAAGAAATTTTAAAAAATAAGTAAATTTATCATAACAAAACAATTATAGCACTGGAGAGGTTGAAACAGGAAGATGAAGATAAGGCCAGCCTGGGCTATTTAGTGAGATCTTGTCTTAAAAAAAAAAAAAGAAAGCAACACAACAGAAACCTATTGTTATTCCTGAGTGTATTATTGCACGAGTGAGTAGGCACAAAGTAGCAATTCTTTCTTTCCTTTTTTTCTTTTCTTTCTTTCTTTCTTGCTTTCTTTTTTTTTTTTTTTTGTTTGGTTTTTCGAGACAGGGTTTCTCTTTCTCTCTCTCTCTCTCTCTCTCTCTTGGCTTTTCTAGATATGGTTTCTCTGTGTAGTCTTGGCTATCTTGGAACTCACTTTGTAGACCAGATGTCCTCCAACTCACAAAAACCTGATTGCCTCAGCCTCCCGAGAGCTGGGATTAAAGGTGTGCACCACCATGTATGGCCGAAGTTTATATGGAGTAGACTTATGAGACATCTCAGTGGTAAAGGTGCCCGTCTGTCACACCTGACGTCCTGTTTGAGCCTCTGGACCCACATACTGTCAGGAGAGGACAGATTCCCACATACAGACCGTGGTCCCCATGCACACACAGACACACACTACTTTTTTCAACTATGATATTTTATTTTATAAACAGCATTTTGAAAAAAAGGCTAGTCTGGGACTGAAGAGATGGTCCAATGGTTAAGGGCATTTACTGCTCATGCAGAGGACCCAGATTCAATCAGTTCCCAGCACCCACATGGTGGCTCACAACCATCGGTACTCCAGTTCCAGGGGATCTGACACCCTCTTCTGACCTCCCTGGCTCCAGCAGGAACATTGTACATAGACATACACTCAGGCATGCAACACTTACATGCAAGTTAAATTAAAACAAAAATTAGAGGATAATCTTTCTGTTCTTATGTTGGGCCCATGTCTAGAGACTTATGTTACCTTGTGTATAACAGAGATCAGCCCTGCCCTCCCTCTGAGTTACTGACAAAATGTTTCAGTTTCATATTGATACAGACTGCAGAGCTTCGGTTTCATAAAACTTCAGAGTGAGCTTGATTAGAGACTACACCATAAAGATTTAACCACCGTAATTAACTCTGGACTTTGGATTCCTTCCAATCTTGATACTTGCTTAGGTAAGGATACAGAACTGCTATCTTGGTAGAAAATTGTAGTTTGGGCCGGGCGTGGTAGTACAGGCCTGTAATCCCAGCTCTCGGGAGTGGAGGCTGTTAGGATTTCAAGTTTGAAGCCAGCCTGGGCTTACATAAGAAGACCCCCCTCCCAACTCCCGTCTCAAGAAAAAGGTTAGGTAAGGAAGGAGAGGGAGGAAGGAAGGAATTGGAGCTTGAAATAATAAAATTATGCTAAAGTCAGAGAAATAGTTGAAAGGGGAAGGTCAAGGTGCCCCTGAAGGTCACCCCTAAATATATCAGTGTTTACCGCCATGCTCATTACACTGGCGGATCTGTGGGTTTCTTGTCTTAGATCCACGTGGTCACGTAGGATTGTATTTGGTAAGGCAAATAAATAAGTAGATTTCCTCCTCAAATTTATCTTGCAGGTGCATTTTCATTATAAGGTACTGTGTTAAG